AAGGCACATGGGGAGCAAAACGAAAAACAACAAGAGCTACTCTACACTGCTCAAAACTCACGTTTGAATCGTCAGTGGCAAATCCTTTAAATGTGAAAATGTTCTTACAGGCTGTGAGTCAGCATTATTTGTCAGCATCATAGACTGTATAGGGTCAGCATGCGCACCGAAGGGGAAACGGGAACTGAATTCACCGGAACACCAGCATTGTAGGATACTCTCCCAGGAAACAGTCCTCGTCCTTCATAAAATGCGCAGCACACGTATTTGGGTTGAACTGTTCCGGAACAGTGTTGTAAATACAACTTAACCACTGATTTCTAGTTGTGTCCTCTTTTGGAAGACCAAACAAAGCAAAAATAAACTACGAGACATTCCTCCACTTATGGAGGGCATGAGTAACCTCAGGTAAGCACTAAAGTATTGTTCAATTTGTAGAGTGTCATTGGGGACCAATAAAAAAACTTGATGAATACAAAATTTTTCTATAGGAAACCCTGGAATCTATTTCACGCAAGAATGCAAATGCTTCTTGGACTGAGTTGCTAAGCATTGGTGAAGCATTCGTGTCTGCATACTTGCGCATTTTACAAATGATTACGATTACGAAGTTTAAAATGCTCATTCTGCAGGTTTGTGAATTTCCGAGACAATCCTTTGACATATGATGTGACGCTTCCTAACTTAAAAGAGGATGTAGATGAAGAAGAGAACGACAGGGAGATGTTTGGTCGCGAGTTCATGCACTTCTACATCCAAGAGGCCCGGAAAAGAGGTTATGCCGTACTCAATATGTATTGTGTGCAAAATTGGTAGCAGAACTTATTGTTTAATAAATGAAATAAACATGAAATTAAGCCTTGAGAGCCCCTTAAAGACCAACTTTTGTGTTAAATGTCTCTTGCAGGATCCCAAACTTTCACATCAGTGCAAAATGTGATGTTGGAAGGCGTGTCAGAGACCGCATCTTCTTTGTGACTTGCATGCTGGCTTCTGTCTGCCTTCAGGCTTGATCTTCCGGTCCATCATGTCAAGTTTTGTTCTGTGAAGAGCACTTCACGTCTATTAAATGTCTCGTCTATGCTGTTTGTTGGAGTTGCTGCTTTCTGCTAGTATGTCATAACTAATGTTTGTGGATGAGCTAAAATAAAATCCATAAACATTGATCAAATAAAATGAAGCATACGTGTCCTGCACTTGAGCTTGTTTGTCTTGTTTAAGAAGGCTGTTGAGACTCATCTCTATTCTGATTGGCTGCTGGAACGGCAGTTAGTATCACATTCTCCAATGAAATGTCTCTGCTTGTGTAGTATTTCAGGCTAGTTTCAAAGCCTTTTTGCTGAAGGTAATACACTCTGCCATGGTCAATCAGACGTTTACAAAGCTGTCCGATCTGTTCCCGATCTTCAACTGACATCAAACTGCAAGAAAAACGTTTACAAATGAGATCATGATCTTAATGCAATTGTTCTAAAACCTCCATGTTTCCCAGAATTGAAGCCTGTGAAACCGGGTAACATTTCTTTAAAATAAGGATATAACAAAGACTATTTATATATAGGATGTGTGCTTTAGCAGTTCTGGAGTGCTTTACCTGTTGCTTGAGGTGTTTAAAGGCAGAATCTCCATTCTTTGGGTCACTTAGAGGCTCATGTAGAGCAGAATGTGAGATTATGTTTTCAACGAGTTTGGTATTTAGTCCTGAGGAAACAGGTAAACACGTAAGAATCCTTTATAATTACATAAAATATGACATAACCAGATTTAATAGTCATGTGATAAAACTCAAATGACAGTTGGATACCTTTCAGTGCAGTTTTGAGTTTCACAATCAACTCATCCAGCTCCTTTTTGGATCGTTCAGCGATCGTTATCTGCATTGATGCATCATTATTAAACACATATCTATTAATTAAAGCCATGAAATCTAGATTCACATGCTCTCATAAGCAATACAATCACCTCCTCTATGGGTTCATCTTCATTTGCAGAACCTGCATTGATGTCCTTCACATAATAAATCTATAATCAAATCAAACATAGCAGCCATTCACACAACAAGCATTGTGTTATGCCACATGGATTTTATTTTTCTAACGTTGTAGAAAAACATCACTCCAAAAAAATAAAGTATTCTTCAGAAATTGTAGGTGGAATTATTTATACATACAGGTTTTGGTTTCTCCTTAGAATTACATTTCTTCAGGTGTTTAGCCAAATGATCTTCAAATACAGTGCTGTTTAAGTCAGGAGAGAAGATTTTTGAATATAACAAACATAAAAGTTCAAAGTCTGCCACTGAGACATGGGACAAAACTCTACTTGTTATAAGTTTTAGGAATAATCAAAATGTAACTTTTAAAATAATCATAGATGATCACTAATGTTCTTAACACAAATGTACAATTCATTTTATTTCTCTTTATTTAAAAATGTTGACATTAAATTACCCTTAACACCACCTCAGACTGTACCTCAATATTTCATATTGACTATGACAGTAGGATAGAGGTTAATTTTAAAATACACCTTTTTTAGGTTTCAAATATGTCCTTAATGTAAAATAATTACATATATTTATATCAAAGTCCTAGCTAAATGATGTAGCTAAAAATCGGTTGACACCAGTCATAATTCATTCATTCACTTCTAGATTTGTACATTTTCATGTTAATTAATTTATTAAGAAATATTCAAGCCAGATATAACATTTCTGTATGCATGAATCTGAAACTCTGGAATCATTTCATTGATTCAGTTTGGACTGTACTACTTAAACACTACAAAAACTTGTTAGAAGAGTGAACATCTTACTGTTTGGGGTCCAGAGGACAGGGTATTCGTTTTTTCTCACTCTCTTCGCCCTATATGGAAATTACATCAAATTTTGAGAAAACAACTTATTTGATCTACTAATATTAATAGGGGCAAGGTAAGCAGTAGTGAATCCATTCAGAGCAGCATAACTTTGCCATTATAACGTATTTCATTCACATACAGCATTTGCATGCTCCCCGCAAAAGGTTTTCCCACTTCCAACAATCATCTTGCAGTATCGTTTCTTTTTTGCTACATAAAAAGCACATCGCCCAGGTAAAGGCGCCGACACGCCGTTTGCTACGGACCCCTCCATACTGAAGACGCAACTGGCTCACTTCCGCAAGACATTTCAAAATAAGAGCCACGTACAACAAATCTGAGAAAAAAATCAAGAACGCATAAAATATTATTTATTTATTTGTCCGTATAATCTTTAACTATTCTTAAACCTATTAGTAGTAGTACTACTAGTAGTAGTAGAAATTCACTTTTATCAAAGACTATAGAATACTATGCCTTAAAGGGACTTTGCTTTTATCGTGGCTGACTGTTTACGGTCATCGAAACCGGAAGAGCATCGTCATCGTGAGTGTTGTCAGTCAGCTGTTTATTTCCATAATTGCCGTGTGATGTTAGTTTGCGCGCAGTCTGTGTGGAGTTGCACAACAGATTCTAAGATGTTTGTTGAAGATGCTTGTGAAGAACTTTGCACTATTAGCAAAGACTCACATGTGTGAGTCTGACAAACAGGAAGAGTGCATCGCATGCTCTGTCAAATCTGTGATAAAGCACAGTTTATGGAAATCTTTTTTTAAATAATTTATTTATGTTTTTATTGTTGAGTGACTGGAACAAGAATGGCAGCGCGTCTCGAACCTCAAGTCATGCGTTAACTTTTAAAATCAGGCAAGTCTTTATATATGTTTTCCCTTTAGAACTTAGAACAAGTTAGAACTTGTTCAAATATATTTAGTTGTTTTATTTATATCTAACTATATATACAGCGTCTCGACATGGCGGCATCAATACTACAGCGAGAATAAAAGTTATGTCTTCTTTCTTTGCGTGAACATTTGGGCGGAGTTATGCAAATATTCCCACATGGTGACGTAGATATGTGGGGGTGTGTTAGAACGAGCCGTTTTAGGTAGGTGTGGTTGACACTTAACTTTTATAAAGAATATCTCTTTGGATTTGAGACTTTAGTCTTTGCAACTTTACAGATCTTCTTTATGCACCAAGAGCTTGTAACACTCCAAAGAGAAAGGAAAAAATAGAAATTGCATCATATGACCCCTTTAAAATGTGACGTTGTTAATCTGCATACCAAGACATTTTTCCTGCTTGGTTGCTTTAGTGGCCAACTTATTAACCCTATAAAGTCTGATAACATCAAATAATAATTGTCCTTTTTTTTTTTTTTTTTTTTTTTAAGGGGGGAAATTTTTAATTCTTTAGGCAAAATCTAAAAAGAAAAAGCGTGCATATGTGTCCTCTTTGTTGAGTATCAGGCTTTTTATTCTCATATCATAGTAAGGATGTGGAGCTCATACTTGAAGGAGAAAAAACACCTACACTCTGAGGAAAGATATTAAATTTGCAGTTGCTGATCTTTATATGGCCAAAAAGTTAAGATGTAATTCTGATAGCTAATGTAAATCAATGAGATCTTTATAACAGTATTGCAGACACTTACATAAAACACAAATAAATATCAGTTGTCACTCGGTATCTCATGCAGTTTAAATGCTTTGTTTATGATCAAAGCTCTGTCAGTTTTATTGTGAGGGAAAAAACATAATGCAATGCAATACAAAGATGCTTGAGAGACACACACACACACACAGTGATTTATGTAATTCATCTGGATTTTATTAGTTTTATTTTATTTTTGACTGCAGCTTATGACCAATAAACCCACTTCCTGATGAATACCTCCGATATTCGCAAGTAAATAAACTAAAAGATTCAATGTATAGAAACTATCTTCGATACTCTTCAGAAGGGTCAGCTAGTTTTATCGTTTTAGGTCTCAGTTCTCATGAAGTCACTGCTCCGACAGATATGAAGCAATCAAATGCAGACAGGTTGATCAAGTTGAACAGTGGTGATGTTTGTATCAAGGCTTGAGAGGTCCAGAAAGTCACATGACAGTCGACTTTACTTTGTTCTTTACTGCTGTACTGCTGGAGTTTATCTTCCATTAGCTCTCAAGTCATTTACAACCGTTATAGGCATAGAAAAGCACCGCGAAAAGCATTTCCAGGAAATGATTGACCGTTCGCTCAGCTTTTGGAATTTGATGTATTCAGGTGATAGTGGACACACTAATGCGCATCATTTTTAACCTTTTTTTATTCACTTAAGTTGTGGGTTAGTCCAAGTTCGGCTCTTAAACGTATATTACATCTTTCTTTTAGCGTACTGACCTACATTCACAACAAAGAAAGCTTTATGGTTTACCAAACGCTTATTGCGTTAAAGGGGTCATATGCCGTTGCTAGAAAGAACATTATTTTGTGTATTTGGTGTAATGCAATGTGTTTATGCGGTTTAAGGTTAAAAAAACACATTATTTTCCACATATTGTACATTATTGTTTCTCCTCTATGCCCCGCCTTTCTGAAACGCGTCGATTTTTACAAAGCTCATCGGTCTGAAAAGCGAGGTGTGCTCTGATTGGCCAGCGATCCAGTGCGTTGTGATTGGCTGAATAACTCAAGCGTGAAGCAGTTTATTAATTCTTTAGGCAAAATCTAAAAAGAAAAAGCGTGCATATGTGTCCTCTTTGTTGAGTATCAGGCTTTTTATTCTCATATCATAGTAAGGATGTGGAGCTCATACTTGAAGGAGAAAAAACACCTACACTCTGAGGAAAGATATTAAATTTGCAGTTGCTGATCTTTATATGGCCAAAAAGTTAAGATGTAATTCTGATAGCTAATGTAAATCAATGAGATCTTTATAACAGTATTGCAGACACTTACATAAAACACAAATAAATATCAGTTGTCACTCGGTATCTCATGCAGTTTAAATGCTTTGTTTATGATCAAAGCTCTGTCAGTTTTATTGTGAGGGAAAAAACATAATGCAATGCAATACAAAGATGCTTGAGAGATGAATGAATAAATGTTCCTCAAAAACATGATACATCATATTTGATCCTCGCATTCTAACGTGATTTATGGATACTCAAGTAACACCTGCTTCAGTCCAGCGGGTGTTCATCCTGAAATATTGCTAACAGTTACAGTACCTTTATAAATTTCTCTTACATTTACGACATAAAAATCAGAAAAGATTTCACAGTTAAAAGACACATGTATCATGAGCTGAAAGAAGTTTTTAGAATGGAAATTTTTAGAAAAGGCCTTTTACTTGCTAAAAAAGTATAAACTATCAGTCATATGACAGAAGGAATGTAGTTTTGATCATGTTGATACTTACAGATTTCCCTATCAAATATGATACACTAGGCTTTATAGGGTCAACCTGCTTAGGATTTATTTTTGTCAGGTTTCCTTTGGTTCTTTTCCACCAGACCTTTATTATGAGGGTATTTCTGATGACGTCACTAAACGGTTCTGCTCTGTTTATGGCTTTTAAATGTTTTCCTCCAGTCTAAACAAGGAAATCACATGGCAGATGTTTCAAATAATCTGCCTTTATATATTTCCTGACTTTTAGATACACTGCACTTACTCTGTTACTCAAGGCTCTGATTTATGGTTTTTAATGCTTTTTTAAAAATTGTTCATAAAGTCATGGAGGAGCTGGACCCGGAGGAGCAGTTCCTCAGGGATTCTAGGAACGGGAACCTAGAAGGAATCCAAAAGATTTTGATGTCCAAGATAAAGGAGGAGGCCAAAATCGACATCAACTGCAAGGGTAGAACACGTCATTAGGTTTCTATTGACCACTCGAATGTTTCTAGACATTTTGGAGTACTTCTAACAGCGTTACATTGTTTCAGGCAAGAGCAAATCTAATCATGGCTGGACTCCTCTTCATCTGGCCTGCTACTTTGGACACAGAGATGTTGTTGAGGCCTTACTGAAGGTATCGATCATCTCAGCCTTTTATATTCTCATATATGTGTGCACTGGTATGTTTCCGAGTAGAATTTGTGCTTGGTATTTTAATGTCTAATTGTTGCTCATCTGTGCTTCTTACAGGCTGGAGCAGATGTTAATTTGCCAAATAATGTCGGAGACACACCTCTCCATAAAGCAGCATTCACTGGGAGAAAAGTATGCATTACTGGTATCGTACATGTTCATGCACTGAGATATTAGCTTGTGATAGACTGATAATCAGTTTGACTAATATTAAAAAAAAAAGAAATGCAACCAACAATGGTATTACAGAAACATTTGTTTCCTGTATGTCTTTGATCATTGTAAACGTTTTTTACAGGTAAGTAATGTTTTAAATTAAAGATATAAAATAAAATTGCAACCTCTGAGATCACAAATCAACTTGACATAATTAACAACAGTAATTTAAAATGAGAAATGTTGCTTTGGCAACTAGCTGTTTTTTATTGATTTATATGAAATTAATCATAATTGTAATGAATTTAAATTAAAAAAATTATTTAATTTTAATAGTTCATTATTAAATATATTAAAATGTTATCGTTATTTTAATTTATACTGTAATTTAATTATTACTTTAATTCTTAATTAAATATTTTGATTACATTATTTGAATATTTTATTATTAATAATCATTTATAATTTATCATAATAATATCATAATGATTTGTTTTTATTGGTGTAGTCTAATAATCATTATTATTATTATTGTATCAAAAATTTTAAATAAAACATCAATTAAAAATCAGTTAGCAATCGGTTAGCGGTCATAAAAGGCATTTTTGGGCAATCTCTAATAGAAGCTCTATACTGTTGAGCCATATGAATGTGCGCAGCCTTAAATCACTGACATACAGTAACTACTCACCTGAATGTTAATACTGACTGGATACTGAAAGCCGAACACTGATTGGACTCTGAATGCTGAATGCTGGTTTTGCGGTTTAGGAGGTTGTAATGTTGCTTCTTCAGTACAACACTTGTGCTTCTGTCATCAATGGCATGGCCCAGATACCTAAAGACATTACCCAGAGTGCTGAGATTAAAAGCATGTTGGAGGGTAAGCGTGCTGAAAGTGCATGAAATCGTACTGAATGTGTTTTGGATAAAGTCTGCTGAATGATTACTAAATTATTACCATTCAATTTTTTACCTTCTAGCTGCTGAGAGGACTGAAGAGAGGAAACTAGAGGAGCAGCTGCTGGAGGCGGCGCGGGAAGGAGCCATATCTACCCTCAC